CCCACCCTCCCAGGGAACAATTCCTTCCCAATATCCCATCCATCCCTGCCCTCTGGCACTGGGAAGCCTCTTGTCTTGTCACAAGATCCTTATCCAAAGTCACGTTCCAGGTCTCCTGGAGCTGCTTTAGTTACTGGAAGGCACTCTAAGGTCTCCACGGAGCCATTTCCTCTCCAGACTGTGCACCCCAAACCCTCTTAGCTTTGACTTCAGACACAGAGAGCTKCTCCAGATCTGACTTCCAACCTGACCCAGAGAAGGAACCTGCAGGCTGAACACATCCATAGCTCTGAGCCTCATCCTGCTGGCAGTGCCCACCTGTACTGCCCTGCTCTACTCTCAGTGCTCCTACCATGCACACACAAGAATGGGAGTGATGTTGGAAATACCATTAGGATTTAAAAAAAAAAGGGAAATAAGGCAGGATAATTTTTCTTGAAAATAGAACCAGTATGTTCATTTGGAGTTTTCTGTGAGAAATGAAATCAGATGAAGAACAACTACAATTCTGCAGAATTATACCTGAATTGTCAGATTGAAACCTTCTTCACAAGTGCTGCCACCTTCAAAATAGAGGGAGATGCACCACAGTACACCACACTGAAAATGGAAGCCATGGAATGGGAGCGTACCAGGCAGTGTTAGCTCCAGTTTTACACGGCAAACTGAAACATAGAGGGAGACAAGGCATTTCCACTACCAAGAGGCACATGCACACCTTCAGGTCTCAGGATCAGGGAGTTATTTCCTATGTTTTTACAGCATTTAGCTTAATATATACCCAAGGGATACTGATACAGCTGTGTTGCTCTATGTTTGTCATTGACTAGCTCTTACTAAGCTACCCCAACCAGGCTGGGGGGAAAAATTATGGAAGATTCTTGGCAGAGAAGCATTTCAGGTAATGGAGCTGACAGAAGGATTTTGTGTCATTTAAACCTCCCCTTCTATTCACTGACATTGTTCTACAGATTGTAAACTACTTATCTGGCTCCTTCCTCCCAAAAGAGGATCCCCTCATCACAGCTCTCCTTCAGCAATCCTTGACACTACCCTTACTCTTCTCTCTTCCACAGGTCCCTTTGCTTTTTACTTTCAGGGACAATTTAATTGAAATGCTGAAAATTGCTGAAAATTAGCTTTCGGACAGCTGCCCTGTCTGAGACCTCTATGGAGGAAATCGGAATAGCAGTCAAGTTTTTGTAGGAATGCAGAATTCTCTTTTCTCCTGGAATAAACTGSTCCATGCCCTCTGCACCCCCTGGCTGGGGTGACAAGTGAAGCACAGCTGTGACAGACAAGAGCTTTCTTAACTACCCACTCCAGAGCACATCCTTCTTCAACATCGGGAAAAGCAACAGTTCCTGGGGAAAAAAGGTTGGATGTGGTCATGTAATGAAAGCCTGTCATAACTCACACCCACATTGTGGTAGGTTGGTGGTATGCAGACATCCTTAGCTCTGGCATTTCCTCCGTTTAGGCTCCTTGCATTAGAAATCTAAATACTGTTTTTATCATACCACACCATAAATTATTGTGCAGAAAAAGTCGTATCCCTAAAAAACAGTTCTTCAGCATGAAAGCCCACCTCAATCCTGTCGCTGCAATTAAGCCACAATCATTGGCTCCTCATTCACAGCCCAGCCCAGGGACAGCAGTACATCTGCAAACAAGCCCGAGCACATGAGCACTCTCACTGTGCCTGAAATGCAGYACATGATGGAGCACTATAGCTTCCACAAACCACAGCTCCGGAGAGAACCACGGACTGAGATCAAAGAGAGAAACTGGAAAGTAACTGGATTCCTAAAGGACTTGGGCTGACAAGGCCGTCATTCACGGCAGTACAGATCCCAAAAGCCTTTTCTTTCTCATTCTTCGAGCAGACAAATGAAGAATAATATTGATGCCATCAGCAGCGAGTAGGAGATAATGGCATTGTTCCCCGGGGATGCTTCGTGCCCGGACGTGGGGGGAGGATGGGGCAGTAACTACRGAGCTGGATCAAAAGTGGTTGTTAAGGGAACAAGCAGGAAAGGTGAAACAATGGCTGAGATAAGAAGCATCTCAACAAAAACGCTCCAGACTTTAGGTTTACGCTACGAGAAGCAGGAGTTTGGCCTCCGCCCCGGCGAGACGTCAGTGCCAAGGCCGAGGCGGCGGGGGATCAAAGGAAGCGCTGCATTCCCGGCGGACCCCGGAGCGCAGGAGGGGAGAGGGCGGCGGCGGCCGGAGCCCCCGGGCAGGGCCGGACGAGGCTGCGCTCCCGGGGCTCTGCAGCAGCACCTGCAGGAGCGGGACCCAGCAGCCTCCCAAACCAGAGAGAGGAGAGGAACGTGGAAATCACACAATCCCAGACTGCTTTGGGTTGGAAGGGACTTTTAAAACCATTTCGTTCCTCCCCTGCCATGGGCAGGGACACCTCCCACTGTCCCAGGCTGCTCCAAGCTCCAATGTCCAGCCTGGCCTTGGACACTGCCACAGCTTCTCTGGGCACCCTGTGCCAGGGCCTGCCCACCCTCCCAGGGAACAATTTCTTCCCAATATCCCATCTAACGCTGCTCCCTCATAGTAGGAAAACATTCCCTGTGTCCTGTCCCYCCATCCCTTGTCCCCAGTCCCTCTCCAGCTCTCCTGGAGCTGCTTTAGGCACTGGAAGGGGCTCTGAGCTCTCCCTGGAGCCTGCACTTCTCCAGACTTARTCCCAATTCTGTCAGCCTTTCCTCCTAGGACAGGTGYTYCAGCCCTCTCTGTCAAACTCCCCCTAAYTGAGAGGTCCATGTACAGGCCTTTCCCAGCCTCTGCTCCATGTGGGTTGTTGCAAACAGCTCCATTAAAGGTAAAACTTTAAGATCTCTTACAAAGCAAGATTTCTTGGAAGCAGCCAACTCCCCTGTCACAAGATTCTGTCTTGTGACCTTCACCCCAAATCTCCCTCTTTCTAGGAATTAATGACAAATGCTCTGCCTGCCCTTGTTCTCACGGCTCTGTACACAGGGCACACTTGGCAGTGGATCATCTGCTCCTGCTAGTCATAAGCTACAAATTGCAGAAACACACCAGGAGCTAAAMTCAGTTTCCGAGAACAAAAACAGCTGGTATAGAAACAAAAGCCAAATATTCTCCTGGCTGCTGGCTACATTTTTTTTTTATTTAGCTTAAAACAAAATTTAAAAAATCTGCTTGGAACCCAAACAGTCTCTAGCTGAAAATGTGGTGTCTAGCCTGCAAAACAGAGGCTTGTGGGCACCATGCCAACAGCACAGGATTCCCATGGACCTGGTGTTTCTCAAGCCCTTAATGTGGTTCAGCTTAGGCAAGTAGTTTCAGGATTCCCAGTTTAAAATCTACAACACACATCTGCAATCCATTTTAGATTTTTATTTTATTTCTTACTTCTCCAACCAACTCCAAATGATTTTACGAGTTCTTGCAATCTGGTACTAATTAGTTTCTCATGGTGAGGAGTCCCCACTTCCTTGGAAGGGCTCCCTTTGCACGGGGAGCCAAGCTGTGCAWTTCATCAGCTGCATTTTGCCAGAACCAACAGCAACTACCTGATAAAACAAGACTGTTCAGAGTGTTTAATGCCTGATTACAGGACACAGAAGACTTCTAACAGAGAACTGGTCATTTTCTACCCCTCTCCCATCAGCTCACACATTAAATTGAARTGACTCCTCTACTAACAGAACTAATTCCCCACTTTGGAGAAAAACTTCAAGTAGCTTCAGGGAAAACTTTGAGAAATTTTTATCTAGCTGCATAAAAAGAATTTCCATGTAAGAAACACCACTGACTTAAAACCTTTAATGGAAGAGTCCCAAAAATTATTTGTATTTGCCTCCTGCATATCAGGTATGTGAGATAAAATGCTGGAGATGTGGCAGGTGAGGGCTGTTAATCTCAGAAGAGATTTTGAAATACAAATGCAATCATCTCTGCTTCTCTGCTTTTCTTGTTTCAAATACAGATCCCCTGAACTGAGCCCCTTCAGCAGCACTAACCCCAAACTGCTCTGTCGGGAGCAGCACAAGCACGGACACTGTCTCACACTGGGGGACACCCTGCTGTGGAGACAGCAYAAGTGGAGGCTGAAGCAGACACATCCTCTTCCTCACTCTAGAGCAGATCAAACCCACAGGTGTAGRGAAATTCCTGCTCTTGGCTTTCAGGACAAGGTTTGCTGATGTAACACAGAAATTTAGTTACACAAACACAATGAAGTTCCCAGGGCTGCAGTTACCCTGTCATCACCCATCCTGGAATTGGCCTCCAGTYCCCATTTCCTTCCATGTTGTTGGTGACCTGCAGACCCGAAGAAAAGGTAATTAGAAAGGTTTTGCTCAAAAATCTCCTGCTGCTGGTGGATGCAAACAAAACTTTGCTGGCATCACTGCACACCCTGGCACCATCAGGCAGGAGGATCCAAGGCTGAATAGAGGAGGGTCAGGGCTGCTTTCTCCAGTTTTTAATATTTTGGTTTGAAAATCTCAACTGCTTCTCTTCTTACAGTGCACTCAGGGTGAAGCTTGTGCAAAGATGAAAAGCAACAGACCAAAGTTTCAAATAGGGAAATTCTGCTTGTTAGTGTTGTGGGTTAAGGGTTCTCCTTTTGTTTCCTTTCTTGGGGAATTTTTCTTTCCCATTTTGTTGGTGGGATACACTGATTGCCAGGTCATCCTTTTGATGGCTTGGCAATTAGTAAAGACCATAGGACCTACACCTCACCCAAACGATCTTGCTAAGTACTGGGAGGATGTGTGTGGGTATGGCAGGGTAACTATATATCCTGCCCTGCTTGGCTCAGAGAGGGAGGTTGGCTTGCTACCTGTGGAGGAGAGCTCGATTGCTCTTTTCTGCAGAGCCCAGCATCTCMGCTYGTTGGTTCCTGTTTGCTGCACTGTGATCTTCTGCCCTGTGCCTTGCCTGGGACCCCTGAGATTTGTGCTGCGGTGGTTAAAGGAGCACCGAGATCGGCGTTTCCGCTGTGAGTTTGCAGAGGAACTTTTTTTCCATCCATCTCTGATGGTTTGTGCCCATCCTTGGCCACGTGGGCGATCTGGGTGTATCTCTGTGTGAGGCTGTCACTGGGTTTGGGATTGGGCTGGTTGTTGCTATTGTTGTTATTACTTATTTCACTTTGTTATACATATTASTAAAAACTGTTATTCCCTTTTTCCCATATTCTTGCCTGGAAGCCWGTGATTTTTCAAAGCTATAATAATTTGGAGGGAAGGGGGCTCATTTCCACCACTCCAAGGGGGGTCCCTGCCTTTATTGGCAAAACACCTGTCTTTCAAACCAAGACAGTTAGGGAAAATAAAATTCCCAGGAACAGTCAAACACTGAAATGGGTTCCTGGAGAAACTGTGTCATCTCCATCCTTACAGATCCAAGGAGGAACAAGGCCCCGAGGAACCTGGTGCCACTGAAGTTGGTCCAGCTTTGAGAAGACAAGGCAAAGGTGATCTGCAGAAGGCTCTTTCTGCCTAAATCATGTCATTATTTTATGATCTTTGTGTCTGATTCTCCGTATTTCCCATGTGGGGTCACTGGATGGGCAGGATGTGGTATTAGCAACTCACTGATTATTAACACCCAGCAGCTCACCTCCAGTTTGAGCTGAGCTCCAGGTAATGGAAGATGCTCAAACTCAATCCAGACAAGACAAAGAGGAAAATTGCAGGTTTAAAGACAGAGAGGAAATGCTGTGAAGGTCATCCCTCATAGTGTACTAAAACTTCACTGGTCAACTGCAAAGCTGGTAAGATTTTTATATATATTTATGTGTATATATATATAAATGTTATTTCCATAGTATTAGGGAGGAGTTAGCAGTCCACAATTCCTTTTTGTGTGGCCTATTCTCAGCTGTGACTGTTCAGTTTRGTGTTAAAGCCATTTTGGGCACACTGGCTACTTAAAGTGCAACTCAACTCTTTTCCTGAGTGACAGAAAATAAACACTTGCACATCACAAAAATACTCTCTCAGTGTGACCCCAGCTCACAGCTATCTGTACCTGGCTTCAAAGGATGAGTTTCTTCTTTCACAGAACTCCGTGCTTCTTATAAAATACATATTATTGATACAGGCTGGCCAAAGCAACTCAGACTGCACAGCCTCATGTAGCCTGACTGCTCTGTGCGCAACAGAGGCACAGTGTTGGAGAGTAGGAAAAGGGGTTAATTCTGGTAAGAGAGTGCTATAAAGATGACGTGTACCTTTGATTTATTTGTACCTTTTATTTGAAGCAGAATACAGTGTATTATTATGTAAGCATTATACATTTCTGATTTTATTTCCCCATGAGGCACTCCTGTAAGCCCTGTGGGTTTTAGGCTCACCCAGGTGGTTTTGGATATTCCTCAACAGTGAAGCAGCAGGAGCTGTATTCCTCACCAGGAAGCATCCTCCAAGGAGTCCTCTTTGAGAAATCATCTCTCTGGGTCTCCAGATGCTCATCCTTCATTTTYTCTGAAGTCTCTACTAAGGAGTTTTCTCCTCATTATACAAATGTAGGTCTCACTGAGACCTGAAGGCACTGAGGGTAATCTGTCATCATTCCRAAGGCTCACACAAAAGGATGAACAAAGCCATCACCAGCATGGTGTTAAAGGACTCCGGAAAAACCCCAGGGTATAACATCATGACAACAGCAATCATGGCAGCATTGGATTTAAGTACTTCAGCAATGGAATTTTTCCTCAGAAGGAGAAAGGAGAAATCACTTTTGAGGCAGGATGTATGTTAGCAAAACAAGTCAACAGGARGAAAGAATATTTTTCTTTTATGTTCATATCATCTTTAAAAGCAAAATGGGTTAGAACTCATTTCACCTTTTTGCAAATAGAYATTTTCCAGTGTCAAATTATAAACAAATGGACAGCAGCAGACAGTGTTTGCCATGTAATGCACTGGGGGTTTTATTGTGTCTTCAAGGTTATTGAAATCTGCTGTAACTGGGTTGGAACAAATTTTTCTGTCTCTTCTAAGCTGATTTTGATTTTTTTGTAGTTTTTATAATTACTTCTCTAATGGCTTTTCATACAAATACTCAAAAGACACCACCCTGAAGTGACATCTCTGTGTACAAGAACATCCCTGTTGTCAAAGGCATTAATAATGGTTCAGTGACCTACTGCCCATGAGAAAGTATGAGCAAGAAGTGGGGAGACCCACAGCTGAGTGGGCCTGCCCCATGAGTGGGAGTCTACTCATTACTCTGATAGGCAAGAAYGTTACAGCCCACTTGGAAGGGCCAGTGGGATTGTGCCCAAGATGATGAGAAAGATGCCACCACTGCTAGGAAGTCTCAGTCTTTACTGTCTTCAAAAGCAAACAGTTCTCTTCAAAGATTCAAAGAGAAATGGTTCACATTTTCAGGGCAGAAGCAGTTTTAAACAAAGTTAAATATTCACATTTTCCAACACACTTTCAGCACCACAGCAGAAGCTTTAGATCTTCAAATCAACCACAATTTTGCACATCTTTCAACAGAGCGAGCAAAAGAACCAGACAGGCTCCACTGTTGTGGGAGACAGCTGGAGCCCAGGTACAGAACACCCCTCACAGARGGAGGGGGAGCCCCCAGCCTCAAACCTGGGGAGGATCAGTATTCACAGCTGCAGTGGCTGGGTGAGGAGGTGTGCAAGTCCCTGAAGGACCCTGTTGATCCTTCACTAGTCCGGGAGGAGGAATCCAGACCCTSAGCTGCCTGCCAGGAACATGGTGGAACTAGTCCATAAAGGAACTAGTCCCTTTAAACACCCAATCCTGTTAGAATACCACAAAACMCTGCTGGGCAGGGCACTGAGGTTTAGATGATGAAAACCAGCATTGATCATAAACAATCACTCCACAGCRTATCTCACTAAGTAGGCAAAAGAGGTCTGTCTCTGGGGGCTCCATCCCAGAGCAGAGGGTACACTGCGGGTAGTGCTACAATCTCCCCACTCCTCCCTGTTCATCCTGCTCAGAACATCCTCACCTCAGAACATGCCCTCTTCCACCCATGGGCTCCAGCAAGGACCAGTGGGYATCAGATACCTCCTGCTCCCCAGCYCTAAGCCAACTCTGTCTGCATGAGGAAGCAAAGGGTATGCAGCCCTACTGCAACATACTGCAGATTTAAGGGGGTAGAAGGGGAGAGAGGCTCTCTGGGTAGGAGTAGGAACACAAGATTCCTGCTGAGCACACCACAACAGAGCCAACATGTACCAATGATGATACAACACACACACTGCACTGCTGAGCTGAGGGTGCATCCCTTATCAACACTGCATAGGAACCCCCAGAACTTGTGCACAGCAACAAGAACACTCTTCTTKATGAATGAAGATCGTTTGGGAGCAAAATAGACAAAGACAAAAAATTCTGCTTCTGCCCTTATGAGTCTCTATACAATTCTATCCAAGCTATTATAATTAAGAGACCTTTGAAAAAAAAAAATCAGTCAGAAGCTCCTGTTTCTCTGCATAGCACACATGCCAGGCACAACTTCATCATTTGGGCATCTATTATTGCTGTCTTTGTTGTCCTCCTCATGATACATCTAGCTCTGATCAGAACAAATGSTGGATAAAGATTTCCTTTAACTGGGGCTGAAGGACTGGTTGCTTCATTCAGGCTTCACCAGACCAAAACAGTGATTCAGATGTGGTCCTATGGGACCAGATAGAAGAGTTGAGTTTGTGGTTCTGACTGACTGTCCCAGGAATAACAACACTACAGCCATAGGACAAATGTCCCCTCATTAGCAGCCCAGCCTGACAAATAGCTGATAATGGAAAGATAGACAATGGAGAAACATCCCTCCAGTTTCCTGTTTGAGGAAACACAATCCTCACTGCCTGATCTCAGAACATTAAGACTGCACCCAGGCCAGCTTTAGTATTTCTTTCATGCTTTACTGTTTACATCTCGCCTTCATCCTCCACATGTTTCCTATCCCCAGCTCCTGAAGGTAAGTCATTTGGCTATTGCACAACACAGCCTCTCCAGGGACCTTTGATATTCTCCTCCAGATGGCTGGGTGGACAATAACCTTGTTTCCACATCCTTTACACTTTTGATTTCTGATGAATACAAGTTTGACCAAATGTATAATTTCTTGCTCTTCTTCTTTAGTTTTATTTTAATGCTGGGGAAAGTTGGAAAATTCTTGGCAATAAGCTTGTACTGAGTATACAATATGTCATTCATTTGCTTGGCAATGCTGCTATGGCAGCACATTCTCAGGCAGTTGCCCTTCTCATGACAATAATGAGTGCCAYGAAAACTTTATTAGAGAATCAGAGAAGAGCA